CAAATAATGCAATTTCAACAAGATGATCAAAATGAGATCAACAGTTAACTTCATTCCATGATTCAAATGCACTTTTCTAAAACCCAAAGCTCAAAAATAAAACTCTCAACTTAACGGGCCGAGCCCCTCTGGCTCAACAGATCAGAGCCCCTCTGGTTCAACGGACCAGAGCCCTTTTGCCTTACCAACCAGAGCCTCTGTATCTAAATGAGTAATGACCAACCACAGGTCCTCTGGACCAAATAAAAACCTTTGGTCCAGAAGAGCATAACATATTTTTTAAAACGACGATTGCATAAGAATAAGAGCTCCTCTGACTCTTAAACTTTATTTATAAATATTTTGAAGAAAAAATAATTTTAAAGAATAAAACACATAACTTAAAATACAAAACTTCTGTATGAGACATACAAATTCTTTAATTTATAAGAATCCCCAAAGTATTAAAACCTCCTTTTTACATAACCAAAGGTCCTCTGGTCCTTGCTCAAAGACCAACCAGAGCCCCTCTGTATGTATTGAAATATTGATAAAACTTAGGCAATAAATGTCTCTGATGACAAACCATTTTTCCTTTCTCAATAACATCTAAATTATTATTTATAAAAAAACAATATCTCTAATTCATTAAGTCACCAAGAAATGATGATTAAGAGTCATTATATCCAATTGGTGATAATAATAAGAGCTATAATAATATCCACATATGACAATGCCTCCCTTATTCTATGGTACACATCTCCTTAATATGCCACCCTTATTCCTTCATTAAAGCAAGGTTACTTGTCAGAACAGATGTAAGTCATCATGTCTGGAAGTACCCATCACCCAGTTCCAAGCCAAAATAGACAAATGTCACCACGTCTGGGGGAACTACCTCTTAAAATAAGTTTCATACCAAAACAGACTTACGTCATCACGCTTGGTAGAAATGTTTTCCCAAAATCTAGTTTCATAGCAAAACAGACTTACGTCACCACGCTTGGTAGGAACATTTCCCAAAATACAGTTTCATACCAAAACAGACTTACGTCACCATGCTTGGTAGAAACTTTTTCCAAAATATAGTTTCGTACCAAAACAAACTTATGTCACCACGCTTGGTAGAAACATTTCCTAAAATACAGTTCATACCAAAACAGACTTACGTCACCACGCTTGGTAGAAACATTTCCCAAAATACAGTTTCATACCAAAACATACTTACGTCAGCACGCTTGGTAAAAACATTATCTTTTCACTTTAAAAGATATAAAATACCCCTTTTCAGAATAAAAAATTTAACACCCAAAGTAATTGTTAAATTGTGAAAAGTCCCAATACATTCAACATTTAAAAAACCTTGTACGGATAATGTATATCCGGACAAGCTTATCCGGCCAACACATGACCTGACAACTTGGCCGGACTCCCTATCCGGACAACTTCAAATAATAACACATAACCCCCAGTCCGGACAATACTATGTCCGAGCATCCTCAACCAAAACTGCATAAGGGCTATTCCGCACATCACTATGTCCGGATACAAATCAATCCGGTCACAAAGGTGAACAACATAATCAAGTCACACTATTAATCCGGACAACACTATATCCGTTACAAATTCTTCACTCTTCAATCTGGTCAACCCTATGACCGGACTTGCACTAATACAGTCATTGTTATGGCCGGACTTTATCCTAATCCGAACAATACTATGGCCGGATACAAGCTTCAAAATCATCTAACACCCTTATCTGGTCAAAAAGGTGACCAGATACTCTCAATTCGGTTAACTAAATTTCTCAAGAACAATCAAAATTCAATATACCAACAATAAAATTTAATGCGTAAGATGTTTTTAAAAATTACTCACCTTATGCAAAATTTGAAGATGAAGGTAAGACCAAATCAGTTCTCCGGATTAAGCAAACAAAACCACAACTCTCTCTCAAAATTTCCCAAAAGTGGCAAGAAACCTTGCTTCATACCCACCCCCTTCTATTTATACTTTCCATTTATGGAAAGTCAGCTACCCAAACTTACACCCACATACATACATACATACATACTACATGCATACATAATTCATGCAGACATATTATATCCCTACATATAATCACATACACTCCTATGTGTATTTCCTTAAAATTATGCATATTTATATACTTAACATATAAACATATGCATCCACTTATTAGAAATCATGCATATATTCCATGCATGAAAATACACATACTCACATATTAAACTCACATGAGCATGTATCCATATAAACAATTAATCACATAATAAATAACTCGGGTGATAACCAGGATCCGGTTATCACATCGATCATCAATTGTTGAAGATGATTCAAGTACCACCTAGGGTTGAAGATGAATAATATGATTTGCACAAAGCAAAAGTTTAGAGATGAAAATTCATTCAAATTCACTAAAATCCCCCTTTTCAATTTCACACAGAGTCCTAGTATATATGTTCCATTTTCTACAATCTTATGGAGCAATTGTAGACATAATAAAAAAAATGTCATCACTAATTTGAACAAGATCCGCACACCACATGGTAGTTTCAAATATGAAGACCAACATTGCACCCATAATGGTTTAAGAATATGATCGAAATTGGAACATATACATACAACTCTGAAAGATAATAGATATAGAACCTCGATTGTGTACTTCTTGAAATCGAGAGTTGTTATTAGAAATCGAGGTGTTTCCCTTTTCCTTGAATTTGAAATCAAATAGAGTTGATGCTCTGCTTTCAAGATGAGTCTTTGAGCCAAGAATAAAGCCTTGGAAGTCCATAAAGCCTGAAAAGTCACCTTGCGAATATAAAGACAACTACTTCTTCTATTTGAATTTAAAATTAAAACAAGAAGATAAGAAAAGAAGCACCAATTGTTCTTGTTGGCTACAAAGATGCACTGACATGTTGTACATCGTACATGTTAATATATAATTAAGAAATTTTAATTTTTGTACATAAATAAATGGTACTCCATGCATCAAAATTTATTTTTAAGAGTCTGATCTAAAATCATTATAATGTAGTGTATGTAAATATATATATATATATATATATATATATAGGTTGGTTATTATACAACCCTTGACATTTGTACAACCAATACAACTCAATTTCAACTGTCCATTTCATTTGATTAATATGTGATTTCATAGAAGTTTTTATTGTTTCATAATATAAAGTATCAATCATAATTAATGAACCATATTCATCTTCCATAAATATTCAAATCATAATAAATGAACTCTCATCATTTCCATAAATATCTCAATATATTGGGCTGCATTGGTTGTACAAATGTGATAAGTTGTATTTGAAACAAACTCTCTCTCTCTCTCTCTCTCTCTCTCTTTCTCTCTCTCTTTATATATATATATATATATATATATATATATATATATATAGGTGGAGGTTCAAACGAGAACCCTTGTGATTTACGAGAACGCGAGGACAACCCAATAACCTCAAACTTTTTTAATTAATAAATTAACTTTTATTATATATAAATAATTTAATAAGGGCAGTAATGTAATTAAGTAATTTTTATAATTTTTATTTTATTTTAATTAACCATGTTTATCCTTTCATGTTTCCACGTTTGTTAGTTTTCTTCTTCTCCTTCGTTCATGCTTATTCTCCTTCTCGTTCATGCTTATTCTCCTTTTCGTTCATGCTTCATCTCGTTCATCATAATATGCAGATAATCGATGGGTTAACATCTTTTCTTCATATTAGTAGTGTTCATATTTTTGTCTATCTAAAATGGACAACTTGAATGTTGTTGGTAAGGAAGTTTGTTCAGGATCAAGTTATTCGAACGACGATTCCGGGGGCTTTTCTCAAGATTGTTTTCTTGGAGACAACATTTTTGAAAGCAGCTCTAATAACGACGAGGAAGGTACAATGTGATAACATTAAAATATGTCATCAATTTTCATGAATGGGTTTTTGGGGTTTTTATCACATGTGATAAAAAGTAGACGGACTTGTGAATGTAAACATTTTTTGTCCGTTTATTGTTATTGGTATATGTTGATTTGAGTTTAATGTTATTCTACTTTTGTAATTGAAAATTTTGATGTTTATCACATGTGATAAGCATCCCATATTTTTAGTCCGCTCATAGATTCATTGTACTTTTTAAATTGAAAAGTTTGATGTTTTATCACATGTGATAAACCGGATGTGTATATGTATGTGGATATTGTTTGATTCGTTTTCCATTAAATTAAATTATATAAATGATGCAGCAACAACTGCTTTTGACACCCAAAATCTTGATGCCATCGACTTGCTAGTGATCACAGGAGCTGTGATAATGGTGTGATAGATGTGATAATGGTGTGATAAGTATGATTGATATATATTATTTGATCAATAGCAAGTTAGTTGCAAGCAAATCTCAACTCAAACTACTTGTGAATCTCTTAAATTGGTGTGTAGCTAGTGATGAAAAGTCGGTTTCACATGATAGGAAAATGCAAATGCAAATGTAGAATTTTGCAGTCTAATAGACATATGATTGATGCTAGTAAATAATGTAAATCAGCAAGTGAAAAATGACAGCTTTATTGTAATCAAGATGGTTAATTTCACCTTCAACTTGTAACACCAAATCAATGATTATAATTGTGATATCTATGTAAGTGAGAATTTTGGATGTTTATCACATATGATAAACATCCCATAGCTACAATTGTATGTTACTGTAATGTGCCTTGATGAGGTTGATTTTGTTTTGAATTTAATTTAATATTAATTGTGTTTTGTTTTATTATGACATATGAGACATTGTTAATTTGGTTTATATGTATATTGTTTTCTTTATTTATAACATACTGGTAATTGTTTCACAGATCATTTCGTGTTTCCAGCTCAAGGAGTGATTGGAAGTCCTTGCGGTGATGGAGTTCGTATCCATCTGTTCCAAGTGAATTTCAACCGATTGTTGGATCAATCTTTGCATCTTTGGAGGATGGAATTGAAATGTATCGAAGGTATGCCGATATTGTCGGGTTTGATATTCGACTATCAACCCAGAAGACAAGGAAGGGTGGTATAGTCAAACTAAAATATGTTGTTCGTCATAAGCATGGAAAACCAAAAAAGAGGTTGGTTGACTCTGTTGAAGTGGATGGACATCGTAGACAAGTACAAAATACAAACTTTAAAGTCACAGATTGTAAAGCATCTGTTAGGTTTAAATATATAGAGGGGTCTCAATCATCATATAGATTATACTATTTTTGTCCCAACCATAACCATGATTTGATTGATGATGCTGATAGAATTTTATCACGTAAGAGTAGGCAACTCAGCTATGATGACAAAGTTATGGTTCACTGGTCGGCGAGGTCAAATATTGGGCCTGCAAGATCCCACAAGTTGCAGGTTTGTTTGAAAGGTGGATATGATGAAGTTGGTTCTAGTGTTGTTGATTATAAGAATTTCAAGAGGGGTCTCAATAACTACATTGGTGATGGAGATGTACAAATGGTGGTAAACATGTTGAACGACAGAAGACAATATGGGACAAACTTTGCATTTGAGTATAAAATTGACAATGGTCGTTTGGTATCAATGTTTTGGGCTAACGAGCTGACAAGGTCGAACTACGCAGAGTTCAGTGATGTTATGTCATTTGATGCGACATATCGTTTCAACAAGTAAGTTAATTTAATGTTATCGTAATTTGGATTTATTAATTTTTATGGTTTCGGCTTATTTTTTATTTTTTATCGTCGTAGGTATAACATGGTTTTTGTACCATTCACCGGTATTGATAACCTAGGAGATCAGTTGTTTTTGGGTCAGGATTGATCACTGAAGAAACTATCCAAGCATATACCTGGTTGTTGGAGTCATTCTTGAAGGTTCATGGTCGTCAACCGACCCTTGTTTTGACTGATCAAGATGCTTCCATTAAGGAAGCAATCCCTGTTGTGTTTTCTGATGCTAGACATCGCCTATGTATGTGGCATATCATGAAGAAGCTACCTGCCAAGGTATTGAATGTTTTAGCACATGTGATTGAAAGTAGTATTATATTTAGTGTTATCGGTGATAATCATGTGATAAAAATGTGACTGCAGTAGTGTATCATATGTGATTTGCAAATTTGATTTGCTTATAGCGATGTTATGATGCAAGTAGGTTCTGATATCATTTTGAATACAAACTTCAAAAAACGGTTATTGAAATTAGTATGGAGTGTACACCTTGAACCTGATGAATTTGAGGTTAAAAGGGCGTCTTTGTTGAATGAGTTTGACCTTAATACTCACCCATGGCTTGAGGACGTATTTGAAATGCGAACCAGTTGGGTTCCTTCCTACTTTAGGGAGATACCTTTATGTTGTTTAATGAAAACCACCTCCAGATCTGAGAGCACCAACTCGTTTTTTTGAAAATTTGGTAAGCATTCTAATATTTTGTTAGAGTTCATTTTGTCTCATGATACTGCGATAGACAAACAGAGGAATAGGCAGCGCAATGAAGATCATAAGACGAATACCACCACACCGACCTTCAAGACAAATACGTTGATCGAGTATCATGCGGCAAAAGTGTATACTCGTGCTATTTTCTTCAAGGTCCAAAAGGAGATCTTCAAGGGTTATAGATGTAGTTCCCAATGGCAAGTTAATTCTGAAATGGGTTTCACAGTTTATACAATAAGGGAGAGGAAAAAACATTGTTCCACTAAGCTTGAGTTTAAGGTACGTTATCAATATTATTGATTATTTGTTTAACTTTATCACATGTGATATGCTAGTTTATTAATAAATATCACATGTGTTATTTTAGTGTATCGTTATAATCTTGTATCACTAATTTATGTTGTATGTTAGGTTGCTCAATCGCATTCAGATGACTCAATATATTGTGATTGCCGCCATTTTGAGTACTACGGAACCTTATGTCGGCATGTGTTCACTGTCTTGTTCAACCTTGATTTCGATGAAATTCCGCAACAATGTATTCTTAGGCGTTGGATGAGGGGGTTATTCCTGTTGACGTGTTGCGTAGTCGACATATATCAATTGGAAGCGATAGTCGTGTGGACAAATTATCCAATGACGTGTATCTTGAGGTTGGTCAATGTTTAATGAATTTTAAAGGTGACGAGGATAAGATAACTGCTTTTCTTGACAATATCCGTTCGTGGAAGTCAAATATGCTAAGCGGTGTATATGAGAAACTTGATTTTACCAACAAAGATGATGTGATTCAGTCGTTGGTAGGTGTTCCTTGACCGGAGAAAATTGATATTCTTCCTCCTCAAGGCATCCGTAACAAAGGTTGTGGCACTAGTAAGCATTTGATTGAGGCGGGAGAGAGAGCCATAACAAAAAGCAAACGGCCGAAAAGACTATGTCGAGGATGCAAGGAATTTGTCAATCATGATATAAGAAACTGCCCTGTGAGGAAAGTCTCTTCCAATTAACGTTTTTCCATCTCTTAATGAATTATGTTTTGTTTTTTAATGAATTTGACAATATTGGATCATATTATTTTATTTAGTTCTTTCGAATGTGGATGTGAATGATGGTTAGTTTAAAATGATGATCAATCACTGTTACATGGTGTTTTTTTTAAATATAATGCTTTTATATCAAACTTTGGTGGTACTTCAATTTTGGGGTATCACATGTGATAACCTTGTGTATCACGTTTCATATATGCTGCAATCTGTTTTTTTTTTGTTATATGACATATCTAATAATAAAACATTTTTGTACTTGATAATTATATATGTTTTTGGGTTTTTGGAATCTGCTCAATTTATGGATCTTATGTACGTGATATATTCGTTTATATTGAGCTTATGTACGTGATATATTCGTTTATGTCCTGTGATATTTTTGAACGTATCACAGTTAAATCTTAAATTATGTTATTGTTGTGTGATTAGAAAAATAACCCTGTGCTGTAATTTATAGCAAATATTGCTGGTCGACACAAGTGATAAGCGTTTTGTATAAGATCACACCATGATTATGCTTACGGAAATATCATTTGTCATAGAAACATAATTTCCAAAACATATGCAAATTCAACCCAATTGTTTTCATTACAGTCTGTCATTTGTTCTACTAGTGATGAAATTGAGAAATTGCTAAACTGCAAATGAAACAAACAAACATCCAACTTCCTATATCTTTCTACCAATTTAATATGATCCAAAACGCATCTCCCTTTTATTGAATGCAGATGTGGGGATTGATTCTTTCAGATTATCATCCAGTTCATCAAATTCAAGTGTCTGTTTGTAAAGTGCATCCTTTAAAATGTTGTCATTTGAAAGCAGGATCTTTGTAAGGTATTTTTGCCTTAAACGTCGTAGTTGTTGTTCTTGTCCACAACCCTCTTGAAAGAAACCACAATCCCAACGGTTTATCACTTGTCCCATATAATGCTCCATGTGCCGCATTATGAAGATTTCGCAGTCAACACCATTTCGTACTGTACTCCACTTCAGGTTGCAGACCTTGGCGGTGACATTAGCCATGATTTTTTCTTTGGGGTGTCTCACCGATTTCATATAGTCATTAAGAGCCTTGTGCTACATTTCAAATTTGCATTGTGATTAGTCATTTCGTAATTGCATATATAAATATTTTTAGTTTATCACATGTGATAAAGCTCGTAAACTCTTACCAATTGTGGTGGCAGATCCCCATACTTGCTTCCAATGTCACCCTCTGTTTTTGTGTTATCGATTATTAAGAAGCCCGAATTTTTCAAGTTGAACACAATTAGGTAGTGTTAAACCTCACAATTTATAATGTAAAAAAGTAATGAAAAACAATAAGTGATGAAGAACCAGAAGACCAATGAAGACATCAAGGCAGAAACGACTAAGTCTGGAGTTCAACCAGAGGACCGA